TCAATGTCAAAATAACTGGTTTATAACTGTATATATCTCAAAATGTATGCGCTTAAAAAATTCAAGATGGCCAGGCCCTTGCAGATCAATGTTGAAGTAACTGGTTTATAACTTTATATATCTCAAAATGGATGCAGGTCAAAATATCAAGAAGACCGGCTCCTTGTAGATCAATGTTGAAATAACTGGTTTGTGATTTTCAATACCTTAAAATGGATACACGTCAAAAAAAATATATTGGCCAATTCCTTGTAGATCAATGTTTAAATAACAGGTTTACAACATTATATATCTCAAAATGGATGCACATTTAAAAATCAAGAAGACCAGGTCTTTACATTATTTACATTATTCGGACTATTGTCCTCATCTTTGTCGCCATATTTATTACAACGTTTCGGCCTTTTAGTATCTGTCTATATTTCTGAGATGAGGTATTATGTACACTATTTACATTGTTCGGACTATTGTCCTCATCTTTGTCGCCATATATATCACAACGTTTCGGCCGTTGTACGTCGAACTGAACCCTATATTTCGCTCACTGGGGTAGAGCGTTCTAGTTCCACGTGCTATGTTTTTATTGGATGTCAATTATCAGTTATCTCCTGTTAATTTCCCTGACACGTGGCACAGTGAATAAAGGCGTTGGTTAGATCTAGTGACCCAAAGAGTGTGAGTTCAATACCCGGTTAGGGCAGTGTAGAACTTTCAGAGGGAAATTAACAGGAGATAACTGATAACTGACATCAATTAAAAACATGGCACGTAGAACTAGAACAGTCTACTCCAGTGAACGAAATAAAGGGTTCAGTTCGACATTCCGACCACCTGAAGAAGGCAGTAGTGTACAACGGCCGAAACATTGTAAATGATGTACATAATACCTCATCTCAGAAATATCGACAGAGACCAGGTCCTTGCAGATCAATGTTGAAATAACTGGTTCATAACTTTATATATCTCAAAATGGATGCGCGTCTATAAATCAAGATAGCCAGGTCCACGTAGATCAATGTTGAAACCCCTGTTTTGTAACTCTGAATATCTCTAAATAAGTTCACATTTAGACGAATTTCTCTTGTACAGACTAAAAGGAATACGAGAAAACATTAACGGAACATTATTGTTTCTTCACCTCTGGACGTCTTCAATTAATATCAGCGAATGCTTGTACGCCTTTGGTTGTTTTCAATGAACGTTTATTCAGGAGAGCCAGATATGAGAAAATGGATGTCAACAAGTCAGTGAGCAACCCATCATCTTCATATACGTGACTCGTCTCCCTGTTGAAACGAAGGCACGCAAAGTCATCTGAGAGAAGAAGGCTCAGAGAAGCACCAGAGTTCTTGAGCTCTCTACTGTCGTAAACGTCTCGCACATTATATCAAATGGTAAACAAGGCAATCCATCATTGTCAAGATTCCATACCCATGAGGCTCGAATGATTTCGACTCAGTCTGGGTCCTCAAAGTGTAACTTTCAAAATATCAAAATGGCACCTAGTGTTGTTTCAGCCTCACCGATCTGATGATTTTTCACCAGTCATGAGGAACGGCCTCGTTCTCAATGAGGTTCCATGATTTGATCGTCTACTGAGTCACAAGTTCATTCCAGATTTCAAGTGAAAATCATATATGCATTCCATTGCAAATACGCTGGCAAAATTGTCGCCTAATTCTATCGCTCCAGAAATTATCTGACAACGTTTTCGATCCTTAATTGTGACAAGTAATTTTCTATCATCTTCATTGTGCAGGTGGTGTAATGGAGGGGTGATCCGAGTTCGAATTCCAGTGTTTTTTTCAAATTTATCCAAATATCCTTAGGAAAGGTATGAATTCATCGCCACGCTACACCACTCCAGATATTGGTTAAATAATAGGACATTTGAAAAATCATTCTTATTCTATATATATATATATATATATATATATATATATATATATATATATATATATATATATATATATATGAACAATGTCCGACAATTATTTTAAGATATTTCTATGTTTATACATTTTTTATAGATACAAATATTTAAGTAAATGCTCTGTTGATAATAAACAGTATTAACGACATTTACCGGCCTGAATGTCCGAGAAATGTTCATAGAAAATATGCCTCCTCCGATCGAAATGGACCTTGCTAACGGAAACGCTCTTTTGTGGCGAAATCGGTAAAACACGTCAGACTATATGATACAGGTTCGATTCCTATCGGCGGACGCATATTTTCTATGATAATTTTTCGGATATTCAGGCCGGTAAATGTCGTTAATACTGTTTATTACAAACAGAGAATTTACTTAAATATTTGTATCTATAAAGAAAGAACGTATAAACATAAAAAAAATATCTTAAATAATTGTCGGACTTTGTCCATTTTATAATGTGTGACTTCATTTGTTTATATTTGGTTACGCAATGAGCAGATATGAATGTACGAGAGAAAATCACGGAGAACTGTAGTTTAAAAACAGTAAAAATCGACCTTGCTAATCGATCGATCCTCTGTGGCGAAATCGGTAAAAGTACGTCAGGTTATATTACGGTTCAGTATAGGATACAGGTTGGAATCCTGTCGGAGGACGCATATTTTCTATAAAAATTTCTTCGACATTCAGGCCGGTAAACGTCGTTAATACTGTTTATTATAAACAGAACATTTACTTAGATATTTGTATCTATAAAAAAAAGAACGTATAAACATAAAAAATAACTTTATATATATATATATATATATATATATATATATATATATATTGGCAATCTTTAATCTTCATGCAAAAAAAAAACACACACACACACACACAAAACAACTCTCTGTAAAAAGGACGGGTTTTCATTGAAACTGCTATTATTTTTACTACCTTCACGTCTCAACAATGTTTATTATTTAAAAAAAACAAACTATGATTTGAATTGTAATCTATATATATAAAACGTAAGTTGTCTATGTGTTTGTGTGATAACTTTTCACTCGATATCCATCCAACCAATTTTTACCAAACTTGGCATATACATTGTACTATGTAAAAGATAGGTTCTTAACGTAAAAATCAATACTTTTTAAAAATAAATAATCGATAAAGCCGATCAAAATCGATAAATTCAACCTTTTTTCCTCCGATTTCGTTCAAACTCTCTATGCAAGTTACTTACATCCTGACGAGTTCAACGATATTTTAATTTTATTTCTACGCCACTGCATTTAGCGAAAAACCGCGAAAATCGAAAAATCGATTTCAGCACAAATTTTAAAGTAAAAACTCCCTCAATTTTCAAGCAATCTAATACAAACTTCATCCAGTTGTAGCCAACAATAAATTGATTGTTTAACAGTCATTTAACTTGATAACTGAGTTCACCCATATTGTGAAAACCCGCGTAAATATCGAAAAATGGCGATTTTTACTGGTTTCTTTCTTATTTTTCGTTGATCTTTCAACCAATTTTCATCAAACTTATCAATTGCTTTATAAATATATCCTCTTGTACATCCCTAGTAGCGTACTGATAAATTGAATTTCAAAAACTCCAAAATATTTGTTGTTTGAAGTGGGTCTTCATGTTGCCTGTTTTACCCCTTCATGTTTTCGGCTAACTTTGATTGAATAAATACAGACTACTTCTGTTTTATCAGTAACTGCATTAATTCAAAATATTTTTTTAATGAAAGTACCTTAAAGTAATTGAAGTTACATCTAAACTTGATGCTGTTTTTGTTCCATTCTAATTGAACGACCAGCTGGCTATGGCTGCTAGTAAAACCTAAACATATGAAAATGAATTTATACATTTTCATCGTTCTTGAAAATTGACAACAAAAATAATAAACACCATTAGATTGTGTATATACACTATTTATTTATAAGATTGTTTATTAGAATGGATGACAAAACATCAGTTAATTGCTAATCGATTCGAACTTAATAAAATAGTATATAAGTATTTCTTTATAGTTGGTTCGCATATTTTAATAATCTAGTAAATGTTTTATAAATTTATGAATAAAAAATCTTTTCGTATTTATTTCTTTATCAATTGGTAAATAATAAATATTGCATTGCATTAGTTTTAATACAATTGTATTACTTTTTAGAATGTTATAAATATAAAATTATTCTTGTAAATAAACAAACTAATAAATATATAGTGTTTAATATTTTTCTTGTAAATTCTCAAGAACAAAAAGTATATAAATTATTTTTCATATCTTTAGACTTTATTCCAATTCTAATCATTCTAGGATGAGGATCTCTCATTATTTACACTATTTACATTCGGACAATTATCCTCATCTTTGTTGTTGTGTTTCCTATAGCAACCGTGGAGAACCCTGTCCCTCACGATGGCGTGTCCTGCTATTTTCACTCCTGGAACCAACCGATGATTTGATTGATAAAGCTGCTGGAACTAACTTTAGGTTTCTGCATCAGTATATGAATGTCACGTGATTTGACACTCTTACCAAGTTTTCAGATCGCCTCCATTGGTGTATCACATCGGCTCCTTACTTTTATCTTTCATCTTTTGTTTTTATCGTTACGCGACCACTGCTTTTATATAACTCGTAAGCAAGCAAATTTGAGCTCACGTCTCGTATTCGCGGGATGGGGGTGTGTGGCTTTTCCTGACCGATTCAGTCACAGAGGTCCAGTAGAAGGTTAATTTTCTTTATTTCCAATCAGCCCGTCTTAGTTATTGCAATCATAGAACGTGTTAAAAAGACGTGAGTAATGCGACAAAAATCTATAAAAACGAAAGGGAAACAGTCGAAAATTAACAACGTCTACATTAGTGTGTAAGAAACTTCTTGTTCTTTAAACTTTGTGCAAATTAATTGAAACAAAGCGAATAATTCCGTTATTATTAATTTTTTTCTTTCATGACCCTGTGCACATGTTAGTACATCGTATGTCCATTCCACGAAGTCGTTCCTTGCAGATTGAGTGGATTTAAATCAGGAGAGTTTCCGAGCCAGTCTATATATTTCAGCCTGTTCATATCTATCTATCTATCTATCTATCTATCTATCTATCTATCTATCTATCTATCTATCTTTTGTATTTTCTCTGATAACCCCTTTACATAAGTCAAGCAGACTGTTTTCTGAGTGTTGTTGTCCTCCTCTTGTACCCGCCTATCCCAGTTTTGGGGGGCTGCTGCCATGTACCCAGGGTAGTTGTTACGTTGTAGGGTACTACTTATACTGGCCAATTTTTATCTAACGTCTCTGGGTCGCCACTTATGACTTTTGCTCGGTGTTGTAAGCAGCGGACGATCCCTTTCTTTACGCTGTATGGATGGTGGTAGTTGAAATTGAGGTACTGTCCGGTGAATGTCAGTTTACGGTATACGGATGTCTTAAACCCATGCTCTGTTCGAGATATTAGAACATCCAGGAATGGGAGTGTGTTGTTACTCTCTTTCTCCATTGTGAACTGCATTGAAGGTCTTATTGAGTTCACATGGTCCAGCAGAACCTGAACATCTTCCTGGTGTGGCCAGAGTATGAAAGTGTCATCTATGTACCTTAACCATATAGTTGACTTTAGAGATATAGATTCTAATGCCATTTTCTCAAAGTATTCCATCTATATATTCGCTATTGCTGGTGATAATGGCGAGTCCATTGCTAAGCCCTCATCCTGTCGATATATGTGTGATCCCATTCCGAAGTGTGTTATTTGTGTATAGTAAGTCAACATCCTTATCAGATTATCTATTGGAATACTGGTCCGTTCTTTTAGGGAAGAGTCAGAGGCCACTCTATCTCTGACTACTCAGAGTGCCTCCTCCGTGGGTACCTTGGTGAACAGACTCACCGCGTCCAAGCTCACTATCAGGTTGGATAGGACGGGAGCATCTTTGATAATTTCCACGAAGTGGGCGGAGTTTCGGACATATGAAGGAGACTTTCCGATCAATGGGTCAATTATATCTACAAGGAAGCGACTCAGAGGGTGGCACACAGAACCGTGGCAACTAACAATCAGCCTGAGAGAAATACCGTCTTTGTGAATCTTAGCGAGACCGTATATGTGAGGTAGCTTGGTGTAACGCTGCGATAACTGCCTATACGTCTTAGGTGCAAAGTGATCCTTGTTCTTCATTAGGATCTGTGACAGTTTGCGTTCCGTTTTCATAGTAGGATCCTTTTTCACTTTGCTGTAGCTACCATTGTTAATGAGGTCTTCCAGTTTTCTTGTATAATCTGATTTGTCCATCACTACAGTCGCATTACCTTCGCCAGCCTCTCCAGTTTTGTTATGTTAGACCTGGGCAGCTTAGCTCTCTCCAAGGTCTGTCTTACTTTCTATCTCAGTTCATCCGCCTGAGCCTGAGGGATGTTCAAGGCCACCTTCTCGACTCTGGCAATGATGTATGAAGTATGGCACCCGCCTGATGGTTGTGGCGAAGTTATTATTCAATACTGACTCCTCAGAGGCACTCAGCTGATATTGGCTGATGTTGACTACTGCTTTCACTGGTGGGTGATGGACCTTGTGCATCACCTTCTGATCTTTCAATCTATTTAATTTTTGCACTTGGCGAGCCTTGACTACATCAAATTCATGTCTGAAGGATTTATCCAGGTCATTTTGGATCCTTCTCTGTTCTCCATTAGTAATTCTGTTGAAGAAATCCTCGAGCGTCTGGGAGATATGAGGATGTAGTCGATGTTTCATCCAACGATTGTACTGGATTCTCTCTCGGACAAGGGCATGTCCCGCTTTCTCTGCGACCCGACGAGCTCTCCTTGAATTGACGGGAAGTCTTGGTGCCAAGCCTGAAGGGATGAGTTGTAGGTCTCTGCATCTGTGTAGGAATGTCAGATGGTTCGATATTCATGCCAGTTTCTGGTAGGATTTTTCAATTTGTCTCCATATTTTGGTATATCAGGTCCATACCGATCCTCCAGAGTCTGTCTATCAAACTTGACACGTGGAACTAGAACAGTCTACCCCAGTGAGAGAAATAAAGGGTTCAGTTCGAAATTCCAACCACCTGAAGAAGGCCGGAGCGTACAACGGCCGAAACGTTGTGATAAATATGGCGACAAAGATGAGGACAATAGTCCGAATAATGTAAATAATGTACATAATACCTCATCTCAGAAATATAGACAGATACTGAAGGGCCGAAACGTTGTAATAAATATGGCGACAAAGATGAGGACAATAGTCCGAATAATGTAAATAATGTACATAATACCTCATCTCAGAAATATAGACAGACTGTGAAGAAACAATTAAAATAGAACTTATGGTTGCTTCTAACCATTTGATCTGATGTGAGGTTTCAAATGATGAGACTTTGCCGCCAATTCAGTACTGATCATTAATTCATAAAGTCTAGGTACCACAGTTGAAAGTTCATCCGAACAATTACCATGAAATTATTTATAGAGAATCTACGTTACGTCGGTGGGAAACGTACTGAAGCCGAGACGCCATGATTTTTGTCAAGAATCTTTAAATACATAGCACCAGACCATATTTTGCAGCAATATTCAAAGCATGGACGAGTTATAAATATGTAAGATAAATTCTGTCGAGAAAAATTCTCTAGCACGGCACAGTAAAATAAACTTTCCTAGCAGCATACCTCGCAATTGATCTAGTATAAGTTTTCCAATTGTATTATAATCCAAACCATGTTTCTCTTTTAAATAATCCACAAAGAATTGATGAACCGTAAAAAAAACAATCAGTCAGCAACTTGTGGGTATTGGCAATGTTTAATGCTGCTCAAATTGAAAGACTTCCAATCTCAGAATGCAGAAAGCCAATTTCAGGAGAAGTTAAGCGTATCTGTCTTTGTGGAGAGACATTGCACTAAAATTTGGCAATGAAATAAAAAGCAATTATATCTTTATGTTCTTCCTGTTTGTCTGTGACGGTAGTTCATATCAACCGTCGAGAATGAAAGTTTCATGGCTTGTTTATAAACATATTACATTCTCAGTGGGTTAAGCGCTGCCTGCTGAGAATGGAGTAATGCTATACCAGAGTTGAATATAAGACAGATAAGAGAGGCAAAAGAAACATGGCGTGTACGTCTGCCTATAAGTATTAGATTCTACATATATATACAGCTAGAAACACACAGCATAAGTTACCTATATATATATATATATATATATATATATATATATATATATATATAGAGAGAAAGAGAGAGAGAGAGAGAGAGGGTGGTAAATTTGGCATATATTTCAACACTACGTGTACATTTATATCATTGGAGATAAATAATTCCACAATTCAACACACGAATGCACAAGCGTGCAAACACAATCTATCTGTCTATCTTAGGGTACCTCGGCGTGGTGCAATGGTTAGCAAGCTTGTCTCGCTAAAACAGTTACAACTGAATAGTGAGTTCGGTCCTCATTGGGTGCTCCATACTTCCGGCCTTGTGCCACATCTAAGCAGCGCTTAGAAAATCACTATCTGTCTATCTCAGCTTGTTTATATCTATCTATCTATCTATCTATCCGATGAATTCACTCGTCGTCTTCAATGTATGACAGCTGAGCAGTTCAGTTTAGTGAAGTGAAAAGCCAAACTATCCTCTTATATTATATAGTGTGCATCAAAATTACGTTTACGAAATTTGGGGGTAGGTCACACCAAAACAAGGACAAAAGTCCATATAAAATATGTCCGCTAATCCTTCGTTTTTTAGTTAAAGCACGTTTAGATTGGATGGCGTACTGTTTAGACTAGGTTATATTTGTCATTCGTGTATATTTGTCGGTAGTCTGTCCTCAACGTTTAACGTGCGTAGTAGTGAGTTAACTGTGAAGTGTTCCGTTTAACAATGGCATCATATTCATATCGTGAACAGATAGATATGATTCTTACATAAAGCCACTTGAATGGTAATGGACGCAAGGCTGCACGGCTGTATCAGATTGTGATTCCAGACCGTGACACCACAGACTATGTATCGAGGAATATCGATCTCCGCTTGTACGCTAAACCAGAAAAAATTCTACAGATTGTCGTATACGATCAAGGTATCAGCACACATCAAGTAACCCTATCATGTCATAGTACTGCACAGGGGTGGGGGTAATTCAAGAGCAGCTTCTGTATGTATATCATTTGTAACGTGTGCAGGATCTTCCACTCTCTCATCACTCACCACAGAACTTTTGCTCATGTTTTATTGCACAAATTGCCGATACGTTGTTTTTCACTTCAGTTTTGTTTACAGACGAGGCAGCATTTGGAAGAGATGGAATAACAGGTTTACACGACGTACATTTGGAGGCGGATCGAAATCCCCATAGTACAAAATTGTCTAGACACCAGCATCAGTTTATGATTCATATGTGGGATGTAATTGCATATGTTCTCCGAGGACGTCTTATAGGAGCTGTCTACAGTGAGTTTATTTTGAACATACTTCCAGACCTGCTAGAGGATGTTCCTCTGCTAAGACGAAGACGCATGGGGCCCATGCATGGTAGATCTCCACATTGTTTGCGATGCACTGGCTGATACCTACCTTGGGAAAATGGATAGGTAGGGGAGTTTCATGGCCTGCAAGTTCCACCGATTTTAATGAAAGAACTTCGGTGTGAAGAGATGAATATTTGTATATTCATAAAATAAATTATAACCGAATGGATTTTTAAGGATCTTCTATACTCATTATTATGTTGCTCTGTTACTTACATTGAATTCTCATTGGATTAATGTCCCCCTTAGAATTATCCCTACCAATTGATATTGTATATATATATGTGTGGGTGTGTGTGTGTGCGTGCGTGCGTGCATGTGTGTGTGTGTGCATGTGTATGTGTGTGTGTGTGTGCAAATATATTGATAAAATAGGAAAGAACCGTTAGATTGATGATCCAAAGTTCTTTAATATTTTTTTTATTTAAAAAAAACAACAGTGCTCAATACACAAGTAGAGCCTAGATTATAAGTATTTAAAAAAAAAATCATTCCATCGATATACAGGAATTGCCACGTTTCGAAAACAGAAGCTAAAAACTTCCAATTCAATTATAGAAATTAAATTAAATGCGAATTTTGTAATCTGCATCTGTTTTTGAAACATGGTAATTCCTGTATAGCGATGGAATCATATTTAAAAAAATAATTATAATATATATATATATATATATATATATATATATATATATATATATATATATATTCCATATATTTTCATAATGCAGGGGGGTCAAGATTAAACTTTCCAAAACAAACAATGATCTGGAAGTAGAATGAAAGCAGTAATTGCACGTTAAGTGATTCCATTATAAAAATTAGAATAAGTAAATACTAAAACGTTAACATATATGGATCAGTTGCAATAAATTTACTATAGAATAGGGTGAGCTATGCGTAATTTGCTTCAACAAGGAAAGCTTCGATCGCACTTCCCGCTTTCCGTTTACTTGCTTCCCTGATAAATATAACCTTCAAAAATTTAAATGTAATGTCAGTCACCATCTTCATGAATTCACCTTTTGTCCTATCCGCGCTATACTAAGTCTTTTCTTGCAACTTTCACTCCCTGTAACCCTCTGCGTACAAATGGCATTCCCGCCTTGCTTGGGGTGAAAGGATTAAAAATAGTTGATTATGTTATTATTCACTTTTCGTTTCATGCGTTGCCCATTTTAGTTGTTGCTGCTGTTGAAAGTCCTCGGGTGATGTGGTTTATGGTATCTGCTACTGTTTGACATTTTATAGCACAAGTTGACGAGGCTCAAAAAGGGATGGTTCTGACGAAGTCCTATACGCTTCAATCGTTCGAAGCTATTATTAACAATCGATCTGAGACAGCGGTTGTATACAACCTAGAGTTTCCTTATTTTCTAACGATTTTGACACCATTCAGTGGATCCGTATAAAAGACAGAAGAAACGATTTAAGGACATGACACTTCTTTGGTTTTGTAGCAGCTTGCGATGTTGAAGCAAATTACGCATAGCTCAGCGTATTCTATAGTAAATTTAGTGCGCTTGTGAGAGAATGAGAGAGGGAGTCAAAATGGGGAAGAAGGTGAGATAGACGAAAGAAAGCGTGAAGAAGAAAGAAAGAAAGAAAGAAAGATAGAGAGAAGTTAAGAGTGAGGGAGAGACAAAACGGGTAACGAGAGAGAGAGAGAGATAAAAATAAAGAAAGAGTGATAAAGAGAGAAACAAAGTCGAAAAAGATAGAAAGTATGAGAAAGAAAGATAAGAAAGAGAGAGAGACAGAGAGAAAGGGAAACAAAATGAGAAAAAAGAAAGAAAGAATGAAATATTGTTTGTGTGTGTGTTTGTAAAAGAGAGAATCAAAAGGGGAAAGAAAGGGAGGTGAACAAAAAGAGAAAGAAAGAGTGAAGAAGAAAGAAAGAAACAAAGAAAGAAAGAAAGAGAGAGTTAGCGAGTGAAGGAAAGACAAAAAACAGGAAAAAGAGAGAGAGGGAGGGAGAGAAAAATAGAGAAAGCGAGAGAGAAAGTGAAAGAAAGAAAGTCGAAAAGAGAACGAAAGAATGAGAGATTGTGTGTGTGAGAAAGAGACAAAATGGGAAAGAAAGTGAGATAGACGAAAATAGATAGAACGGGTAGAGGAGAAGAAAGAAAGAAAGAAAGAAAGAAAGAAAGAAAGAAAGAAAGAAAGAAAGAAAGTCGTAGAGAGTGAGGGATAGACAAAAAGGTGAACAAGAGAGAAGGAGATAAAAATAGAGAAAGATAACGTGAAAGAAATCTGTCGGGAGAAAGAGAGGCTAAGGAAAAAAAAAAGAAAAAAGAAAATACTCAATGATTAAACTCACTAAGTAGATTAGCTTGTTAGCCATTAGCCCATCGTGGCACTTTCTGCTTACGGTATACTTTATTTAAAGTGCATAAACTTTCAAGTTTCAACCAGCCTGCTTCAGTTTTCGACTTAGAACCGCTTTTCCGAACAAATTTCAACCAAAACACAGACGTCGTCAAAACTGTGCAATAAGCTGATACCCTGAGAACGGTTCGTTCTTTCTTTTTTGTTTCTTACTTTCTTTTTTTAATTTAATGTAAAGTGTTATAAGATCCAATCCACTTAGAGAATTTCTCGGCTCGTAGCAAGGGTCACCCAGATATATTGCATCTCGTGATTCATTCACAAAAAAAGTGTGTACTTCGGGGAATTGGTGAATGAATACCGTCTCTTCTTTACTATTCGTTCTGCCATTCTTCAACGCAGCACACGCCTTAGCAAACAAACGCCTAGAAGGTAAAATATATCTCAATCGCATGTCTTTATATCTAAGCAATGTAATGCACAATTAAATACATACGCCTAACATGACTATTTCATTTATTTATTCAATTTTTACAGTCGTTAAGGACTAAATAATTGAATCTGCTGAAGATACGCCCGGTAGATAATTCGCGTCGAAATTAAATGAATTTTAAAGATAAGTTGAACTGTTTATTTAAAAAATTTTGCTACATATATTTTTTGTTTTATTTTCTCGAATCACAAAAACGCTTGACTCACTGTCACAAAACTTGAAGACATCCGACAGCAGACATTTTATGAACAACGCTTTTACCATTTCTACCACAAAATCACCTTTGTTTAAATTGTTATTTTTTTTTTTAAACTTCTTAATTTAAATGTTAGGGGAAGCACGGTGGAGTAATGGATAGCGGCTCGAATTAAGGAATCGGAGAACCGAGTTCGAATTTCAGTCGAATCCATTACATTCATTTATGTGTTAATATTCTTGGGAAAGGTATGAATCCTCTCTTTCTCCTTCCAGCTATGGGTAAATAGCAGGACAGACCGGGTTCTATAGCCTTGGATGGCAGCTGGAAGAAATGGCAACCTACCGCGGGAAAAATATCTGCCTCGTCAGTCATGTACTGAAAGATACATGATCGCCTAAGCGTGTATCATGCATGGCACGTAACTGACTGATCTTTAGTTTATAGTAGTCAATATTTCAGAAGCCAGTTAAATATAGACCATAGAAATTAGTTTGTCTTTCTTGTGTTGAAGAAGTTCTTCCATCGTTGTTGTTGGTGTAGATATATGAGGATTTAGTATACTATATTATGAATGATTCAAACAATCAATTTTGCAATAAAATTATGTTTAAGTAAACACGATGGAGTAATGGATAGCGTCTCGGATTGAGGAAACCGAGAGCCGAGTTTGAATTCCAATCGAATCTATTACATTCACTTATGTGCTAATACCCTTGGGGAAGGTATGAATTCTCTTCTTCTCTCCACAGCTATGGGTAAATGACAGGACAGACAGAGAGGGGAGTAATTCTATAGCCTTGGATGGCAACTGGTCTACCGCAGAAAGAAATGGCAACCTACTGCGGGAAAATATCTGCATTTGCCTAAGCGTGTATTACGTATGACACATAACTGACCGAATTTAGATGTTAAAAGAATATTTAATGTTGCTTCTGTTAAAGAAAGCATAGATAGAATAATACAAAACTCATATAAGCTCGCACCTAATATTAGACCAAATATACGTAAACTACTACTGTCTAGCACGGCGCAAGTACCATTTTACGATCACTATGGTAAAATAGTAAAAATT